ACCCTTCAGCCAATCTACACTCCATCTGACTGTGTAGGCATCCATGCCACAGTCGCTTAGTTTTTTAATGAGGATGGGGTGGGAGACAGTGTCAAAGGCCTTCCTGAAGTCTAGAAAGACTACGTCCACGGCGACACCTGCATCCATTGCCTTTGTGACCTGATCATAAAAGGCAATCAGGTTGGTCTGACATGATCTGCCCCTAATGAAACCGTACTGGATATGATCTACAAGGAAGTATTAATCAACTTGCTTTTCATATTTCCTTTTGAGAAAATACTCAGTATAAAACTGTCCATTTCTTTACCAATAATGGGTCAAAGGGTCAAACTAGACAATATAATAGGTTAGAGAATATGCCCATCTATTGGGGATTTTGCAAGCAGCTCTGCCATAGGGATCTGGCAGTTCAAGCACATAAAGGAGTGCAAGGATTCCATAGTTCTCTTCTGAGTTCTGGACCTGGCAGGTTGGGTTCTGCTGTGCTGTTATCTAACAGAGGGCTCTTGGCACTAGAGCCTATTTCAGTTTAAATGCCAAAAATGCACTTACCCAGCTGTGCAAATGCTACTGATGGCCCTCATGCACAGTTTGTGATTCTATTCTGGTAGCAGTGTGGACGTGCAAACATCCACACAGTTACTGAGCATGTTCTGCTAGGCTGTACTCTAGCTGGCAGGTCTGTGTATAAGGCTGGGTAAGTCCCAAACTGGGCAAAAACCCACAAAAGAGACACGCCTAAACTTTAACCCAATGGTTTAGGGGCTAGTGCACTTACGCAGGAAGCAAAAGGTTTAAGTTCTAAGCTCTCCTCACCCAAAACTGGTTTAAATCTACATGTCTCTTATTTCCAAGCACAGTGCTTCAACCATCAGGCCGTAAGTTAAATATTTTTGAGCCCTCCTCTTGAAGCCGAGTCAGTGCAGCTTGGTTTAATAGTCATTAGATTAAATGAATGGAGAGCAACGGGGAAGTTTCCAAACCCGCTGCAAGTGAGGCCTCAAGCTAAAATATAGGGCCTCCTCCCATCCAGAGTAGCATTCATTTCACTAAACCACTTATCTTTTCACTGAACAATGACCCTTCTAACTAACTAATGACTTCTAACTGTGACATAATTGCTAAAAATAACCATGCACCACCAGGACAGCACGGTAACAGCTGTTACTATGCCATTATTTAGTATTTGCTAAAGCAAGTACTAAATGATAGTGCAGTAACAACTGTGCCATGGGGGGCACACGTAGATACACCTGCTGAGTTTCTGTCCTAAGCACTAAAGTAGTGTACTAAAACATGGGAGGGCCCCCTTCTCCTCTGCATCTTGGATTCTCATAACAAGTAGTTCAGATGAGGAGTTTCCCTCAACCTTTGAAATCAGCTGAGTAATTAGAAAACTGATCGCACCTTCAGATAATTAAGCTGTTCTTTACAGGGGTGAAAAAAAACATAGGCTGTCTGGATAGACTGTTTCCTGGTATCAACCACTTGTACGTTCTTTCCTTTGTTATATATTCTGGCTCTCTGAACTCAGGTTACCTTTGTGTTTTATTAGTATTTTTATGAATTTATGATCTGGGAAGTTCTCTTCAGTCTCTTGACCTGGAAACTGAAGCAAAGACAGTCCATGAATGAATCTCCTCAAAATTTACACAGTTAAAATTGAATGGAAAAAAAACTTAACCAAATACAATTCAATTAAAAACTGACCTACTGAATACCTGGGCAGGACACACTGAGCATTGTAAGCTCATTTTTGATAGTTGGCGAATAATTAAGAAGTTTATTAACAATTTTCAGGGAAAAATCTTGAAGTCTTTTATGAACCTTCAGGCCCACGTTTTCAACAGGTATATTGAACTGCATTTGTGAAAAGGTTTGCACATAATTTGGGCAATCTGTTTTGAGATGCAACTAATCATTTTAGCAGGAAATTGGACTATAAACTCTTTAAGGCAGACACTATGCCTCAATGTGGCTTTTCACAGAACTTGACACAATAAAGCCCTGATTGTGCACTGCTGTAATATATATGAAAATTACAGCTTGGTGGATGGAACAGAAGTGTCTGTGACAGGCACAGAGAGAGAGATACTCAAGAAGTCTTTGGTCGCACTAGAAATAGGACCTGCATTTCTGGTGTAATCCTTTGCTTTAACCACTAAAACAAACTTTTCTCCACTGTCATAATACAGGTCCTTGTACAGAAATCACAAATACCATATTTCTGCTCTTGATTTCTCAAAACACATGAAAGGCAATGTTGAGGATCATAGAACAAGATATATTTTGCCTGAAAAACGGACCTCTTTCAAGGACAAGCATTGCATCTCTCTGGGGTGGAGTGAGAGGAAAAAAATTCCCTCTTTGTGAATTTAGAGTTTAGAGGGCACATCTACACATGCTATTAATTCATAGCAATAAACTCTGGTCCATATCATGCTGGAGCTCATTGTTCCCAGATGCCATATTTACACATTTTCCCAGAACCACAGCACATTGAGCCAGCTGGCAGAGGGTCTGGGGAGGTCAGTGTGCCATCCTGGGGCTGCTCCAATCTAACTTAACGTGCAGCAGAGGGGCTGGCTGGCAGGCCTGTGCGAATAGGCAACTATTCAATTCAGATTCAGATTTGACTGATTTGATTCGGACATTCAAATTGCTTTTCCGATTCGATTTGGCTGAATCGATTTGGAAAAATTCGGAGATTCAGCTGTAGGGTATAATGGGGAATCAATGAAATATCTATACCTTTGTTGTTTTTTGGCTGATTCACATGAAACTTGCAAGGGTGATGACCTCTGCTGAGGGGATAAAGTCTGCCAAGTTTCAAGGTGATAGGTACAGGGATTTCTGGGAAACTACACCTCAAACTGCTGACAAGCAAAACTCATGACATAGGTGACACTGTGCGTGTGTTAAGGCACAGGGGGATGAAAACTGCAGGCCTTCTAGGCCACCCTTACCATGAAGAAGTTTTTTCTGCTGCAACCTGCCAGACATCTGACTTCCCAGGTACCTCTGCACTTTTACCTGTGCTGCTACATCCCCTTTCTCTCTCCCCTCCCCAACCCTAGCTTGTCCCTCACCCCATGACACCTCCATTTCCATTTTCACTGACTGGCTTTCTTGCCTGCATTGCATGCCAGGCCAGCCTCTGGCTTCTTTACTATTCCTTCCATCCAGGACCAGGAGACACACCAACTGCACCTACTTCCTCAGCTTGACAAAGTGTTTTTCAACCCAAAAGCTTCCTAGATATATTTTTCTAATTATTTTGTGGTTTTTTTTATAAGAAACATACAAACATAAAAACATAAGATAAGCCATCACACACCACAAGGAACATATATCCAACACAAGATCTTTACTTCTGTCAATTCCTTTATAACAAGAAAGGCTCTGTGACATTTCCATCTGGGTAGCTTTGCCGCTCGTGCTATTGGTGCTGAGCCAACTAAGGTATTTTGACCTGCCGTTGTTTACAGTGGTGGACCGGACCAAGGCTATGGGGGAGGAGGAGGCCTCACAGGAGCACACTGCCATGTTGCTCAGAGGCCCCAGCACTAGGAAGGGCACACCTGAACACACGCAGTCCCACAAGCGCCTATGTCACAAGTTTTGCCTGCCTGCGGCCAGAGGTGCAAGGCCCCAGAATCCAGACTCCCCCTGCAGCCATCTCCTTGACAGCTGGCAGGCTTTGTGGCCACAGCAGGCCCTAACAGGCATGCAGTTTTCACCCCCTGTCCCTTAACACACACACAGTGTCACCTATGTCATGAGTTTTGCTTGTTAGCAGTTTGAGGTGCAGTTTCCCAGAAACTCCTGCACCTATCTCCTTGACACTTGGCAGGCTTTGTGGCCTCAGCAAGAGCTACCATCCCTGCAGTTTTTGCCTCACTGTGGCTTAACACACTCACACGTGACATGAGTTTTGCTTTCAGGACTTTGAGGTGCAGTTTCCCAGAAACCCCTGCACCTATCGCCTTGAAACTTGGCACCTTGAAACTTGACCCTCAGAAAGAGCTACCACCCTTGCAAGTTTCATCTGAATCAGCCAAAAATCAACAAAGTTAAAAATATTTCATTGATTCCCCATTATACCATATGGCCAAATCTCCGAATCTTTTCCAAATCGATTTGGAAGCTCTGCATTGATTCAGAAAGCCTACAGCTTCTAGTGATTCAATTCAGATTCATAGATTCAGCCTCTGAATCATCTGAATCATCCCCAAATCCAAATCACAATCCGAAAGCTTTGCACAGCCCTACTGGCTGGGCCACGAGGGTGCTTCAGTGCAAGGCTAGCCAGTAGGTGCACTGAAGCACCCAGGTGCCTCAGCCAGCTGGGTCAGTGTCTACACATGCGTTGCTGCATATGAAAAAACTCCGCAGCAGGATGATATTTGTAGTTACAAGTACATGTATTTACAAATACTAACCCGCTGTGGAGTATATTAGTTTCTTGCAGCCTAATAGGGCTGCACATGTAGATGCAGAGATGTTTACTGCAGAGCTAATTAGCCAACTCCTCCACAGTAAACGTCTTATGTAGCCATGCCCAGAGGGGGGGGGGGGGGGAGGGGTTTGTGTTTTGGTTTTGGGGGGTTTTTTTGAGCAGCTCCTTTTTTTAATCTATCATCATTTGTCTTTGTCAGATCTCCAGGTCTCTTGGTGACTACACTGAGTCCTTGGACCAGGTGGCTTGTAACATGGATCATGGCAAACTTCTCTCCTGCCTGGAGCAGGTTGCTTCTGCTATGATGTACCTTCATTCCAGCAAGATCATACACTGTGATCTGCGATGCAGTTATATTTATGTTACTTGTGGTCCCAGTTTCTCTGAGGTATATATACTTATTCTTCTTATATTTGGTCTGTTCATTCACTGACCTATGTTGTCTTTCCAGTGCAGCCTAAATTCACTGTCCAGTTCTATTCCATCATGAAAGGGGACAAAATATTTTCACTTAAGGGTCATAAAAAACAGGTATAACTCTAAACAAACAAGAAAAGGCAGGAAAACAAGAATTAAACCAGTATTATGTGGTGGCAAAGGTTGTATCCCATATACAACAGACAATAACAGCTAAAGTCCCTCTGCCCTGGCAGCAGGGAGCTCCTGGGCCTGGCTCCCTGATTAGGTGCAGGAAACTTGGAAAGAGCTTCAGGAGAGGCGCAAGGGGCTAGCTACTAGTTGCTTCACTGGCAGATTATGGCAGGGGGCTGGGACTTACCCCACACCTGCAGCTCTTTCCAAGGCCCATGCCTCAATCATCCAACTGGGGCATGGGCCTGGGAGCTGCCCCTGCCACATACCAGGTGGGGGCTGGAGAGCTTGTTTTCCACTCGGCTCCATCAGTGTAGAGCTGGGGGGAGCACCTGGGGGGCTTGTTTCCCCCTCACCCCCAGCTCCATGAGCATGGAGATGGGGGCAGGGGAACAGACTGGGAAGCTTGTCTGCCCCCAGCTCTGTGCTTGTGGAGCTGGACAGGGAACAGGCTCCCCAGCCCCACCAGCAGGGAACTCCCAGCAGTGGCTCTGGGACTGTGGGGCTGCTGCTGGGAGACCCTTGTCTCCCAGAAGTGTGGGGCCACTGCTGGGAAGTAAGGATCTCCTGGCAGCAGCCCACTAGTCTCAGAGCCACTACTGGGAGATTAGGGTCTCCCAGCCCCCTGCTTCCTGATTGTGATGGTGGAGTAGGGGCTGAGAGATAGGGATCTCCCAGCCCCTGCTCCCCAATCTGAGTCTCAGAGCAGGGGG